GTTGGTACTCAACGATTTTTTAAAATAGTTTTTTTTAATACATTTTAATAAAATGTCAATACCAGACCTAAGCTAGGTCTGGTATTGCTAGCCCCTTCCAAACAAACAGCAATGAGTAATGTTAACTCTTTTCAGTTTGAACTAGAGCGCAATAAAGTGTATTAATGCAGAAATCATAACAGGTGATGAAGATGAGGAGGAAGAGGCAAGAGTTTGCTGAAGAACAGCTGCTGCTTAGATGGAGGGCTATGCTACAAAAAAGCTCTTGTTTCTACCTGAGGCTGTTTGTGGTTAACATTGGGATTAAAATATTTTGCAAGACACATTAGTAACATGTGTTACAATGACAGTTGCTCATCTTCTGATTTGATTTTGAGTGTGAATGGCCACATTCAGCAGGGGAAAATTCAGTATGGACAATCGTTTCTCTACCTTTCATGTACCTCATCCAAAATATTTAGGTTATATTTTCTATACCTATCCTGCTATAGGCTTAGACTGCTGGAATGACTATGACCTGGATGAATGAGAATCTTCACCAGCACATCATGAACTTATTTAAACAAAACGAGACTATTCTAAAATTTCTCTCCTACATCATTCCTTTGAAAATTCCTGTATGTGCTATACTACAAAAATATAGTGAAAAAACAAAAAAACTATTTTTAACAGCATAATTTTATGGAGGTATTAAAGTTTGGCTTGTATTTGCAAAATAAGTCAAATTTCCAAAAACATAAGCAGAAATCTGCATTGGTCACACAAGCATAACTGGAGGAACACTTTCTTTTTCTTTTTTTAGAAATGCTAAAACATCACACCCACACACTTTCCCTCATTCACGCACTGTCCTGTTTCTAAAGCTTATGTGACCGTGCTAAAAGAATCTGTACAATATTCAAATACTGTATTTATAGAAATAAAAATACTTATTATCTTGTCAGGACTTAATGATTAGATACACCTGAATTAAAGCCAAGCTGGGAGCAAAGCTACTCATACGTCAAAACAAAGAAGGCAACAGGGAGGTCAAGGCTGTGCTTGCTTTTCAGAGTATGGAGCACAGTTCACAGTTTTCTTTCTGACATTGTCTGGTGTATTCAAAGCAGTAAGAATGTATTCCTATTATATTGGGGTAACTAAAGCTAATAGGTTAGGGATATCATTATCCAAATTGATTCTTCAGTGAGCTTTATTCCTCGATTAAAACAATTCTGCAAACACTAGTGATAAGCCTAAAAGCAACTTACTATGGCTACGTTCACACTGCAGACTGAAGTGACCCAAATCAGATTTTTTTTGCCCACGTGACCTGGATCTGATCTTTTCATGGCAGTCTGAACAACACAGATCAGATTTTTTCCAATCCGACCCAGGCCACTTGGCTATGTGGTCCTGAATCCGATATGAATCTGATCTTTTCAAATGCGACCTGTGTCTGAACGCCATTAATACCCGACAAAGGTCACTATTCTGCGTCTTGTTACGCAGAAGCGGCAAGAAAAACAACAACCATGGCAGATGGTGATGCGGATAGCAGTATCTATGTTTAACCATATTGAAAAGAATGTCATTTTATGGTTGGAAAAGACCGCTAGATGCGCGCCGGCACTACACTTCCGTAAACATGGAGCACACTGGCCTGTGACATCATCGCGTCCTCTACTGCGCATGCGGGACACTGGCGTTGTATGACTGCAGGTCACACAGGAGATCACATACAAGTCGCATATATTTGGAAATATGACAGCCACGCAAAAAAAAATTGGATTTCACAAAAAAATCGTAATTGAGCATCAAGGCCTGCAGTGTGAACGTAGACTAAGCCTACGTTCACACTGAAGTGAAGTGACCCAAATCCAATTTTTTTGCTCATATGCAACCTGGATCTGATCTTTTCATGGCTGTCTGAACAACTCAGATCTGATTTTTTTCCAATGCCACCCAGGCCGCTTGGCTCTGTGGTCCTGAATCCGATACGAATCTAATCTTTTTAAATGCGACCTGCGTCTGAATGGCCAGGTCACATTCATCCCACCTGAACGCCAATAATACCCAAAAAAGGTCACTATTCTGGGTCTTGCTACGCAGGAGCGGAAAGAAAACCGACAACCATGGTGGACAATGATGTAGAGAAGAGTATTAATGTTCAACTATCTTGAAAAGATTGAGTTTTTAAGGTTATGAAAGATCGCTAAATGCACTCCAGCACTACCATCCATGTTTACTTTCATAAACACAGCGCACGCTCACTTCCTGTGGCATCATTGCGTCCTCTACTGAACAAGCGGGATACGTTGTATGAAAGCAGTTCACACAGGAGATCACATATTTGGAAATGTGAACGGTAACTCAAAAAAATCTGATTTTACAAAAAATTGGAATTGAGCATTAAGGCCTGCAGTGTGAACGCAGCATAAATGTTCAATCAGTTTGACCTGCATAGGGCAGCCGTTGCTAAATATGAATGAATTACTGTGTAAAAGGTCCAGATAGAAATGTGTAGAGCCAAAGTGGGGCCATAAAGTTTATTTAAAAATGTTACATGTGGTGTAACATATTAATATTTTAATCACATAAGTTGTTCCCACGGTTCCTGAATGCAATACCTGGGAATATTTTGTTCAGATGACATCGAAATCCCGCCCCCATACCCAGGGGGCAGCAGTTTTAAACCGGCAAAAAGCTTAAATTTGAAAAGTGGTTTAAAATATCTCTTTTCAGTTTTAAATCTTTTATTTACAATTTAAAAAATACTTTTCACTTTCAAACTCTTCCTTTTTAAATAAATAAACAAAAGAATGTTTGAAGCACTGCGACAGAATGGCGACCTTTCCAGGGTGGACTGGTGATGAGGGGCGCCGGCCCCACCGTCGCTCTGATGGATGAAACCGTAGAAACGGATGGATGGATGTTTTGAAACAAACTTTATGGCCTCAATTTAGCTGAATAGGAATGTATTTCTGTTTCACAATTTTAGATCTATTTAATGAGGTTAAATATTGTATTAGTAAACCATAGCTGCATGCAGCCAGGTTTCAGTGAACCCTCCTAAACCTTCTCCTCAGACAGGAATGTAGAATTTGATTTGTAGTATTTAGCTCCTTTACAAATGAGCGTCATACTTGTTTATTTTAAGCTGACGTAAAAGAAGAAATTATGTTGAAATTACACATGAATATGTCTATTTAAACAATAACTTGTTAATAAAAATGCCATGACATCATAATCCTACTGTTTCCTGGTAGCTTTCTTTAAAATATCAGACTTTAGTTGTTGATCATGTGACTGATGTGTAAAAAAAAATGCTTTTCATTTCAATTTTACAAAATACACATAGATTTTGTTATAAGCAACTCCATTGGAAAAACATTTTAACAAGAAGGTGAGTTCTATTTATTATTGTAGCATTTAAAAAAATGGGAAATTAATCTTTGGAATTAAAATTTGCACAATTTAAAGGTCAAAGGAAACGCAGCTAATAGCGGGTTGACAATCAACAATAGTATCTGTCATCTTCAATGCTGATATGAACGCTCGTCACTTTCCTATGCTGGCTGAGTATGTAGCAGGTTGAACGTCTGTTCCAGAGAGTGTGGATGTAAAGCCTGTCACTACCTGATCTGTCCTAGAAGCACGATCCGTTTCTGCACATGCACCAAAAGAATAAGATCCGGGTTGCTGAAAACTATTCTAACGATTCTGAAAATACTTATTTATATATTTAAAACATTAAAGGTGCTGTAGGAGATCTTGGAAATCTTGGTCTATATTTTTGAACATACACAACCATGCCTCTCCCTTCAGACCACCCCTCGGAGCTACGCCTTCAAAACACATGAACGCGCATGTTGTCTGCAGCGCGTCTAGATCAGTAGGAGTAGAGCGTCTGAGCAGCTCAAGCAGGATGTCGCTGATCTAGGAGCTGGCAGGGAGACAGGCAGCACTGATGATGCAGAGCGCTATGATCACTTCTCTGAAACAGTTTATTTTAATGCCTAAATCAACTTAAAATGCCGAAATCTTTTGTGATTGGTTGAAGTTGTTAATTGATTTCTGTAGAGGGGACCATTTATTTTTAGTTTTACTTCCAGACCTTCTATTTTACTGCTTCCTAAGTGGCTGTGGGGAGATCTTTAAGCCACATGGTAAAAAATGCGTCAGAAAAGATCTCCTACTGCACCTTTACAGAATGCTAAACTACATCGTATAGAAGAAATGGATACATGTCAGATTCTCTCCATTGTATTGCGTGACGTCATCATCGGACATGCTCAGAGCAGTCACAGTAATGTTCCAAAGGCTATTTCAGTGTATCGCTTTTTTTAATTTTTAGAATACGCAATATTTAGGCAAATACAAAAATATTAAAAAAGAACCCCCCCGCCCGAAAAAGAAAAAATAATAAAAGTAAGAAGAATGAAGTATTTGCCTACCAGGAAGTTATTCTGTTGGATCATGTGCAGGACAGCTCGTGCTTCCGGGATGGATCGGGTAGTGACAGAACCTACCGGATAACATTCCCGAATAAAAGAGCTCCAGTGAAGAAATCTTTATTTACGACTGTTAGCCTTTTGTTCTGCTTTGTTTAGCAAAAAAGTCGACATGATCAGTGGGTTTCATGGTTGGCTATCTGCGAATTTGTCATTTTTAAGAATTAAATGATTATTAAGGCTAATTTATTTTAACTATAAATATCTATGTTAGTTTAAGACTCCAAAAGCATTACATACAAACTGAGATCTAATTAATATTCATTAAAAATGAAATGTTGCCTTTTGTATTTTCTTTTTGTATCACTGAGCCTGGTTCTGCTGGAGGTTTCTTCCTGTTCAAAGGGAGTTTTTCCTCTCCACTCTCGCTACAAGCATGCTTAGTGTGAGGGATTGCTGAAGACTCAATTTGTTGATGCAATCAGCTGGTTTTGCTTAGATAGAAAACTTTGAATCAATCTGACTGGATGATCTGGTGAACTGGAAAGTGTCTTGAGATGACGTGTTGGGAATTGGAGCTACAGAAATAAACTGAATTGAATTGATAGTTTCACCTTTTAGCTATAAGGGATTGAATCGCACTTGAGATATGTTTGAAAATGATTATTAGAGCGAAGTCAAACAAGTTGGCAAATCACCATAACAAAAATAAATGCTGCTACAAATTCTGTAAAAGTATGGAAAACTTTCCACCATATTTCCTCTTGTTATCCATCATGATTTGTGTGGCTTGCCTTCAAAATACAGAGTGAAAAAATTTATAATAACACATAATAACATAATAAACATATCAGAGGTAAAGACGTATTAATGGCTTTCCCTTTTAAAACTGACTAAACAAAGCCGACAGCGTTTGTTTTCAGCCTTTTCTCACCGCAGAGCTTCTCTGTAAATAAAAAACTAAGCGCCTGTTTGATCCCTTATCATCAACTCATCAGTCCAAAGTCTGTGGACATTTTTAGCAAAAAAATATCAGCGCCTAGGATTTAATTATACTTTGCAAATCTCTAATAACTATTCATAGTTGTTATGTGCAAGCTGTATTTTGATGACTGCTGCTTCTGGGAAATCTGGGAGCTAGGTTCTGGCACAGCCTTAGTGGCTTAGGAAGTCGATGCTAGCTTTGACAGTGCGTCCGGTGGACACGTCTACCGCCATGGCTCGGATTTCTGTGTCACCAAACTTCATGAGGGTCTGGATCTCACGCCGTGGTGCTGAGCTTTCCGTTCCGCTCACATCTAATCGAAGCGTCCCACACTTCCTGACCCCAGGCTCACTGATGAACCCCACACTCTCCTTCTCTGAGCAGTAGACGTGGATGACGATAATCTGCTGGGATGGCTTTGCGGGCGTATAGCTGCGCTTTACCATCTCGCCCAGTGCTACGGATTGGTCAGCGGCGATGAAAGTATCGAAGACATCGGTGCACCAGCGTGTGCCATCTTTAATAAGCAGTTTCTCTGGCGGGTGCTTGCCCTCCACGAAGCGATTGAGGACGCCCACGCCGTACGTCAGGGGTGAGCGCCGGACTTTGATGACGCTGGGGTCCAGGCCGAACAGCACAGCACCTTTTAGGATGGTTAGGCCGACGTCATGGGGGATGATGATCCTGCTGCGACCGCGGAGCATGTTCTGGACAGCCTGCTGCAGCAGGGCGGACTCGGCAAAACCTCCAACCAGGAACAGGAACTTGATGTCGCTAACCTCTGGCTTCTCAAAGAGCTCGGCTGGAGAGGAAGCACAGAAAACTCAGCCTTATGTGACCTCTGTTTATTGAATCAATGGAGAGAAAATATTCAGGAGTAAAACCATGGATTTATTAGTAAATTACTGGTCTAACCACGAGTGATGCCCGTTAGGAGGCCTCATGAGGCCATGCGCCCTAACAGGGTCCCCATTTAGCAGCAGATGTTTGTCTCGCACAGCACTGTCCTGCATCTTTGCTGCCCTTAAAGGTCAGTCTCAGTCTCTTCTGACCGACAGACTAATTAGACCTACAGGAGGCATCAACAATCACCTGGATCAAAGATTACCTGACAAACAGACGTCAGTTTTTTCAGACTGAAGGGTCTAAACTGTCTAAACAGGGAGTCAGTGGAATAGGAGCACCACAGGGGACGGCACTCTCTCCTTTAGGCCCCTGTCACACCTTGCTGATTTAGCCAGCGTATGCCTGACGCCCCATACTCTCCTAAAACGCTGGCATATGCTAAACTTTCTATTAGGGATGGAACGGTTTATGAAAACCGTCCGAATCGTTCGGTTTGACTGTCTCGGTTCGGTTCGCGTGTGTTTCGTTCGGTTCATGCGCTGCTCCTTTTTCTCATAGCCGAAGCGTTTACACTCCAGAGCAGAAGGTGGCGATACTGCGACCAAAGCCAACCACCAGTAGTAAACAAGAAGAAGAAGAAGCGAAGCAGCGTAGCTGGGTGTAGCAGAAAAAAGATCAGTTATTGTGGAGAATTGTGTGGGAATGGCGAGTGGGAAAGAACAGGAGTTGGAAGATGCGCCAGCAGCACTTTATAGGTCTGCTGTATGGGACCACTTTGCATTTAGAGTGACCTACGATGACGGCGGAAAGAAAGTTGTGGATAAAAACATTGTGCAAGCATTGTGCAACACGTTTTGTTTATGCTAACAGCAACATGACCAACATGTCAGGCTAACAATCAACATATACTGAACCGAAAACCGTGACCACGAAACTGTGAACCGAACCGAACCGTGGATTTTGTGAACCGTTCCACCCCTACTTTCTATGTATTTTTAAAATTTGTGGCGTATCCATAGAGTATTCATAACGAGTCAAGAACTTATGTCTAATGACACCCAAACATCTGCATGACGCACGGCAGCGTAATGCATTACGTAATGCATTACGAAGCATCAGTTAAAGCTGGTCAGAGGAGCTGCCCAGTCTGCATAAAAAAATGTCTTTGATCACGGTATTAACCTGGCTGTCGTTTACCGCCCACCAAAAGAAGAAAGAAAAAAGAAAAAGAAAGAAAGCAGGTTTGCAGTCACAGCAGATTGAGCGTAATTTCTGCTAGGAAGTTTGTTGGTGGTCGTAAACGCAGGGAGGCCTTCTCTCTCACCCTATGATGGGGATGAAGGCTGGAGGAGAACTGATGGTTTCCTCCTGTGAACCCCCTTTATACCAACATGCTGCCAGTACGCCATTATACAGTAGCTGGAAGTTAGAAACACGTTCAGCGCTCATCTGGAACACGTCAGATACGATCATATGCATTGCAGAGACGTTCTTGAAGTTACTCAGAGGTTTTGGATAAGCTAAGATGCCAAGAATGATGAGGAACTGACACTGAACGTATGTCAACCATAAGATAACTGACCTAGAACTTATGGTCCACATATGGGATACGCTGGCATACATCCTATATACCTAAAACTTTTACAATGTATGCCAGCGTTTTTGCCAGATTTTCCAAATTAAACGCTGTCTAAATAGTCAAGGTGCGACAGAGGCTATACTTTGAAGACTGACGGGGGCGGTCACAGCTACCGAACTACAGGAAGCTGTAGAAATAACAGAAATCTGATTTATCTGTTTTCTACTGGTAATAGCTTTGCAGTATTGACTTGTCCTTTTGAGGTTTTGTATGTAGAATCATGATGAATGAGTTTAATTTATACAATAATGGATAATCATGTAACATAACTAAATCTACAAACCGGAATGCTTCCTGATGCATTGGTTCTCTCTGTGGGGTTATAGGGAGATTGATTTCTCTCTCATTTAAAATGTGAAAGACGCTTTCCCTAACCTTACGCTGACAAAATTGGATTTAACTTCTCTACACTTCCACAGGATAGAAAGTGGTGAAACTTGACAAAAGGAGGATAAGTTGTGACCTAAACTTTAGGCAGTTCTTATCTAAACTCTAAAGACAAAACAGCACTTCTTAAAATGAACATAAGTTAATGATTAGATAGAACAGAGCTTACTGAGATGTTGGATGATGTGGTCTATGGTTGGCTTGAAGAGGTTGTTCATAGCATCTGGAGTCATCCTCAGCATCCCCTGAGATGACCATTTAACAAAGTCCACGCTGAAGAGGAGAGAAAAATGTCAAGCAGAGCTGAACCACAGAAATGTAAGATTTTCTTCACATATTGTTCTGTCAACTGTCCAGTCAGTTATTAGGACTGTTGTCACTGAGTTGTTATCTATCTATCTATCTATCTATCTATCTATCTATCTATCTATCTATCTATCTATCTATCTATCTATCTATCTATCTATCTATCTATCTATCTATCTATCTATCTATCTATCTATATATATATATATATACACTCACCGGCCACTTTATTAGGTACCCCATGTTAGTAATGGGTTGGACCCCCCTTTTGCCTTCAGAACTGCCTCAATTCTTCGTGGCATAGATTCAACAAGGTGCTGGAAGCATTCCTCAGGGAGTTTGGTCCATATTGACATGATGGCATCACACAGTTTCCGCAGATTTGTCGGCTGCACATCCATGATGCGAATCTCCCGTTCCACCACATCCCAAAGATGCTCTATTGGATTGAGATCTGGTGACTGTGGAGGCCATTTGAGTACAGTGAACTCATTGTCATGTTCAAGAAACCAGTCTGAGATGATTCCAGCTTTATGACATGGCGCATTATCCTGCTGATAGTAGCCATCAGAATTTGGGTACATTGTGGTCATAAAGGGATGGACATGGTCAGCAACTATACTCAGGTAGGCTGTGGCGTTGCAACGATGCTCAATTGGTACAAAGGGGCCCAAAGAGTGCCAAGAAAATATTCCCCACACCATGACACCACCACCACCAGCCTGAACCTTTGATACAAGGCAGGATGGATCCATGCTTTCATGTTGTAGACGCCAAATTCTGACCCTACCATCCGAATGTCGCAGCAGAAATCGAGACTCATCAGACCAGGCAACGTTTTTCCAATCTTCTATTGTCCAATTTCGATGAGCCTCAGTTTCCTGTTCTTAGCTGAAAGGAGTGGCACCCGGTGTGGTCTTCTGCTGCTGTAGCCCATCTGCCTCAAAGTTTGTCGTACTGTGCGTTCAGAGATGCTCTTCTGCCCACCTTGGTTGTAACGGGTGGTTATTTGAGTCACTGTTGCCCTTCTATCAGCTCGAACCAGTCTGGCCATTCTCCTCTGACCTCTGGCATCAACAAGGCATTTCCGCCCACAGAACTGCCGCTCACTGGATGTTTTTTCTTTTTCGGACCATTCTCTGTAAACCCTAGAGATGGTTGTGCGTGAAAATCCCAGTAGATCAGCAGTTTCTGAAATACTCAGACCAGCCCTTCTGGCACCAGCAATCATGCCACGTTCAAAGTCACTCAAATCACCTTTCTTCCCCATACTGATGCTCGGTTTGAACTGCAGGAGATTTTCTTGACCATGTCTACATGCCTAAATGCACTGAGTTGCCGCCATGTGATTGGCTGCTTAGAAATTAAGTGTTAACGAGCAGTTGGACAGGTGTACCTAATAAAGTGGCCGGTGAGTGTATATATCACATCTCGTATTTTTTTTTTTTATATATATATTATATATGTAACATACAGTAGCAGACATTCAAAACGGCCATTCCCAGTCAAAAGCCAGCATAATGGCAGCAAAATCCCCTTCAACTTCCAGCCAATGGCCTTCTCCTGGGCATGCATATATTTTTACTCTGACTCCATCCTTTCACTGAATTACAGGGTCTGACCAGGAGATGCCGCTTCTATTTAGATCTTAATGTCCACAATTCATGACAGAAAGAATATTTTAGTACAAAGATTGATATTAAAAAAAGAATTGAAGGGGACCATCCAAGGCCCCATCACGGAACTGTATGAAACATCTGATCAGTATCCTGGTGAAGATTTTTTTTGCTATCATCTAGGTCATAGTCATTCCAAAAATAGAAAATTATAAACTGGGGTTTGTTTCAAAGTTTGAAGATGTTTGAAAAATGTTTCAATTGAAAGTGTCAGGAATAGCTTTGAGTTTGAGGTTCTATACAGTAACCCAACAGCCCAACAACTGCATAAAGGTGCTCAGGGGAACAGAAGACCTCACCTATTCAGCCAGGCCGACAATTCCCTTTAATTACCTCCCTTTCAGAGACATAGACAGGTATGGGACAATGCAGGCTAACAAAGAAGCCAAACAACCCCCATTTCAAAGGGGTGGACCCGTTCGCCTGTTTCAATTTGCATGTTTTCTAAATAAAAACAAAGTTTTGTTGGGCTACTGTATAAAGCCTCGAACTCAACGCTATTTCTGACATTTCTAATTGAAAATTCTTCCATGACGGGGAAGCGAAACGTCTTCAAAATTGGAAACAAAGTCCAGTGTTTTGTTTTTAACTTTCTTTTGTTGGAGCTTCTGAAAAGTAGTGTAAGTAATGTCTGCAGTACTTCTGTTTTTTCACTCACTTGCTTTTGCGCAGAGCATGGTCCACGCTGTGACCTCGGAACTTCTTGTAGTAGTCAATGAAAGAGAAAGGCAGGTTAATGTTGAGCGGGTTGGTTCTGTCAGGAGCAGCTGCTCTCTTTCGCGACTCAAACGCAATCATCAGGTCCACCCAGGCGGCCGGCCTCTTTATTTTAAATTGGTCAATAAAATCTTGGCCAAATATCTTGCACAGCAACTTCTCAAATTCATAATCGACCCCGATGGATCCATAAGGTCCACCTGAAAAAAAAGAAGAGGTTTTATAAGTGAGGCAGGTTAATAAATACAGTGGCAGTGAAAAGACAATTACCCGAGGCCTTGTAGAGCTCTTTTAGATGTCCTTCTGGAAGACGAATCTGATGAACAGTCAGATCCACTGTTCCTCCACCACAGTCCATTACCACGTACCGGTCACCTGCAAATAGCAAAGGTGTAGAATAAAACACACCAAAACATGAAAACTGTTTTCCTCTTACATCTTCCTTTAGAGCATTGTTTCAACATATGGTGACTTTTTTTCAAAAAGCTCCCCATTCTCAGCTGACTGTTAAAAGTAATGTTGATTGGTACAATTTGATAGAATCTCACACTGCTAGTGACCTAAGAGAACAGGTATGAGTTCAAGGTGTGAAAATCAGACACCTAGATCCGCTAAAAGCAGTGGCATCTCCAGAAATGTTTCATAGGGGGGCCAGATGTGGCCACTAAAAATCTTGGGGTGGCCACTGAAACTAAAAGCCCTAATTTCAGGATTTTAATCTACTATTGTGGTAAACCTGCCTGTAGAAATCATAAAGACAATAAACCAAGACAGATCTTGGTTTATTGTGTGTATTTTTAATGTTACGTCGGTGGTTGTGCATAATGGGATGAAATGCTAAACTACAGTTTACCCTGGCCAGTGGGGTGGGCAGGGTACTGCATAGGGTGGCCGTGGCTAAAAGGCATCTTTTTTATTGTATAAGGAGGGAATTGTGTTTCTTTGCTGTTGAAAGCAAAGAAACTCGTTTGATAAAAAAGACTTTGAAAAAAGAATGTAACTTTGGTGCTTTCTGATGTTATTTATTCCAGGGTTTATACAGGAATTAGTAACTCTGATTTATCGGGGAACACCGAGTTTACATTGTTATAGATAAATAACAATAGCTCAGTGGGTGAAATGGACGTACAGAGAAGTTCAAACCCCATCAACACCTCCTTTCTCTGCAAAACTCACAATTTTAAACTTCCACCATCAAACGGGCGAATCCAAACGAAGCACAGAGTTGACGTCAATTCAGGGATGGTGCATTATTTAGTTCTGGCCTGTACTTTGGTCATTCGGATCGAGCCGTGAGCTCTGGGGCTGGTCAGGGAACCCCGGCGGCCGGGGACGGAGCAACCGAACCCGACCCGACGGTATGCTTTCCCCAGCCTGCCTTACCCTGCTACCCCCCAGGCAGGCGGGTGGAAGCATGGGGCCGCCGGTGTCCAGGCTACCGTCACTGGGTCGGGTTCGGTCCCTCCGTCCACAGCCCTAACCAGCCCCAATGTAATGATTAACAAAAGCAGTGCCTCATGTACCGCCCTGTCAGATAGGAGTTTTACAAACGTTACTGCCTGTCACCATGGAGAGTTTTTACTAATTATTTTGCATGACCCAAAGGCGGCAACAGAGGAGAAGATGACGACGGAGGGGCCAGCCTGACTTTCCTGTACATTTGTCACAATAACAATAATTTCTGGGACATTCTTGTTTGATTATCTGTAAGCCATAATCTTCAAAATTATATAAAAAAAAGACTTTATATACTTAACGTTATGTGTAATAAACCCTTGTAATACAAGATTTATCCCTTTCTGTAACACGTAATAATAATATAGAACTTTCTCACAGAACACCCAGTTTATTTCTTTTTTTTTTGGGAAACATTTTATTTTATGCTCTCCTCTCAGCCTCCATCCAGGACTTAGTGGGTGAATTGGAGCTAAGCTGTCATTTTTACCTATATCAATGTTTTTAGTTGAGTTTGTGTGCAATTGTCTGTCTGTGTATAGAATAAGTTGAATAGTTATGAACGGATTTTAATGAAATTTTGTACCAAAGGTGCATTTCAGTCCAAGAAGAACTCATTAACCTTTGGAAATGATCCAGATCATGAGCCGGTTTTAGCTGCAGGTCACAATATTGGGCAACATTTGCTGTTTGTTGGAGGTCTGTGCTCTCTGAGAGCTTTTATAGATATCTTTCCTGTGTTTGGGTATTTTCACGTCTATTTTAAAAACTGACTGCAGATGCACATTAGCTTATGCTATTATCTGCTCCCATACATCTGCACGGTCTTTTCCTAAATCAAAGCGGACGTCTGCTCTGCAGCCTGGACCCACAGAGAATGGTTTTATCGAATATGGGCCAGAAAGCCCTTTAGTACAGCTGCACAAAAGCAATAAACAAAAGACATCTTCAGAACCGGCCGGTCTGCATCTAGATAGAAAAACCTCTGAAAAAAGTCCCCCCAGTGGAGGACTTTACAAGCCTCCAATTAAAAAATTAAAAGGTGATCTATAATGGTGGATTTTTCACGGTGCCATTGCCACAATCTCGTTTTTATCAGTTATTAATTGGGATGTTGTCAGGGTTCTGCAACATCTGGTCGTTAGTTTCTTTGTATTTGTATTTTGTAGTTGTTTTTTTAGCAGTGTTTTGTTCTTGAGTTGCTCTCTGTTGCCCCCTGGTGTCTGTTTCCTTTCCCCTTGGCTTCCTTCTAGATGCTTCCATCCGCACCTGCTCCCAATCAGATCATTAGTCCAGTCTTTGTTCTGTCTTCTATATATACTCTCCCTGTGCGGTTGTGCTGGTTCCTCATCTTTTCCTGGCTTCTCATGTGTGTTTTCCCGGATGTCTCCTAGATTCTGTTTTTTTTTTCTGTATTCGTTATTTTGGAATTTTGGATTTCTGCCTCAGTTGCCTGTGAATACTTCAATAAATTAGCAAAACTCATCTCAGCCTACTAATCTCTGCATTTGGGTCCTCAAAACTAGTGATGGATTAATGAGGCATCTTGACTCGTCGCCAAACTGCATTGATGCTGCGTTGATCCTGTCTCATAGAATACTGACACCTGCTGGACATTTAAAGACACTACAGGCAGATTATTGAACAGAATAATCTGAATTGATTTGATGACCTAGTACAATGATAGAATTTAACTTATTGTTGGTTATATTATATAATTTCATATCTATGTTTAAATTAAAAATATCTTTGACATTTTTAGATGCAGCCAATAATTTATGTAAACGTATATCCTAACGTGAAAATTTAGGGGAAAATGTGAATGAGGATGCTGGTGGACTAGGATTTGAAATCATAATTTTAAAACAATAAGTGCAGTAAAAACAGCAAATAAACTAAGAGTCAATTTGAAATTAATTTTAATTCAAATAATTTGAGTGATAACTGAGAGGAAAAGGATGACACAACAAGAAAATTAAAATAAAAACACAACGCCTGAAAAGTTCCTGTTCCTTTTAGGCTGCTACAAAATTTAAGATCATTTTAATGATAAAGTGCAAAAGATGAGATATTTTCTTTAGCAGCACATCATGTTGACAGATACGTTTTTAAACACAGTTTAGTGAGTCAGTCAGTTAGAAACGACTCCTGTATCGGTCACATGACTTTCTGGAAACGACACGCGCACCGAGAGCGTTTTGCTCTATTGGCTTCATGTGTGTTTTTCATGTTTTTAGTCTTTTTGGGATGTTTTTTTTACAAACCCTCTTTTTGTAGCAGGAGTTCGATTATAATAGAAGAAACAAGCCAAAGGCCTGACTTTTAAATGTTTTAATCTGTGAAGCAAAGATGGCCGATTATTGTCCCACAGAGGCAGACTGCAGGGGGGAGCTCACCTTGATGCCGTGGCTCTGTAGAAGTTACAGAATAGCCCAGAATAAAGATCGAGTTTCACTTCCACAGAGCCTCACAGACCATCAAGGATTTTATTCAGCTGTGGGGTTTTAATAACATTGTATGTGCTGTGTCAGATGATGGAGATTTAAGAAGCTCCTCATTTAATGATTTTTAGCTGACACTTGTTTTACAATAATTGATTCTAAATTGTGTAAATAAAGTTTTGCTAAAAGTCAAAAAAGCCTAAATCAACTTGATGCTTAGTTCTCAGCAGAGAATGTGAATAGAGTGGATCAGGGTGCAGTTCCTTCTCCACACTCAGGAGGATGTTCGCTCATTCGCTCCACCGCTCCACCACTTCATTTTCCTGCTGCTCCGGCGAAATCGCTCCATGCTCACTCAAATTTTCAGGAGAAGGTATTTTCTGACATTTTTCTTTCATGTAATGATGCCAGGTCCCTGATACACATGACGTTTGATTCAATGATGTGAACGATACATGTGTATTATTAACTGGCTGTTAAATTATCGCACTGTTTCCCAGCTGTGTAACACCTCGCTCCATTCATGTTGCCCTACGCTTCCTATTTAATTATTATAAAATTTTACTAGACTTCACGAAAAAAAGGTCACTTTGTTTCCCATTGCAAATGAGATAACAGCGTATAATGCATGTACCGTAAATCCTCTAATATTGGCCTGTATTCCATTAGCAGCCGGGTCTCTAATAATGGCCGGTTTTGCTGTCGGCGGGGGTAAATAATGGCCGGACTCATATACAGGCCGGGGCTATAATTAGAACCAACGATGTTCCTGTGCAGTCCTCAGCAACCTGTGATAGTAACATGCAAGTACCACAGGGGGGCAGTGTTTGCTAACGAATCCAATCCATTAGCTTGGGAATTCCCATCCTTAGCGCAGACAGTGCTGCAGACAGGAGGTCGGATTGTTTGGTTTTTATGACCGGCTGTGATGGCAGAACAGTTTCCATTAATTTATTTGAAAACTTTGTTTGGCCAAGAATCCATTCTGTGTCTTTTTTTTTGTATTGCCGTGCAGAAAAATAGCAGCAGCTGGAAGATGTCTGAATAATGTTTTGTAAACCGTTATGGTAACTGTACTTTTTCAATAAATGAACCTAGTATTTTATTGGTTCAAAGAGACACAATCTGTTTTTATTCATTCCACTGGTCGTCTGTTTTGATCAAATAGAAATAGAGGCCTGCCTCTAATTCTGGCCTCCTTCCAATTAGGGCTGCAACAACGAATCGATAAAATCGATAAAAATCGACTTTTAAAAGCGTTGGCAACGGATTTAATCATCGATTAGTTGTGTCGCGCGATTAATGCGTCATCCGCCGCCGCCGTCATCCGGGGGAAGAAAAAAAAATATGGCGGAGCGAGTCAGCGCCGCAGTTGCAGTGTTGCCAACTCAGCGACTTTTCAGACCCCTCCAGCGACTATTTTTCAAAAAAGCGACTAGCGACAAATCTGCCGACTTTTTACGGTGTCACTGGCGGCTTTTGCCTGCCGTGGGGCGCCTCCCCCATCCCAACCCCTTTCTCCCTCTCCTACAGGAATCCCTCTCAGCGCGGCAGTCAGAGCCGCAGGATTTTAGTGAGGAGTTTACCCTCAGCGTCCAGACTGCAAATGAAGCGCGCATGCGCCGGGATTGACGGCGCAAATTGATCACAATAATTAAAATAGCCTGCGCTTTGTAAAGTGAAAAAAGTCGTAACATGCAACTTTTGTAAAAACAAATGAACATGGCACGGAAGCACCACTGTTATGACGCAGCACCTGAAAAGAAAACACGTTGGAGCCTTCAATGGCAGTGAAGAGAGCTGATCAGCAGGATGAGCGACCATGTTTGTTTCATTTTAAAGAGGGGAAACGTAACGTTAGTTTCTCAGTTCGCTCATCTGATGCTTTCCTTACCGTGTTAGTAGGTTACAGACAGTGATAAGGTTGGCTACTTATTTTACTTTTAATTTCATTTGAATTTGTTTAAGCAGCGTTTATATTTTCTTTATAAATAAATTAACTTGCAAATTATGAGGGCAAGGCTTTTAAAGTTTAAATCTTCTGGCAAAGATAAAGAAAAGAAGATCCTGCAATTTATGGAAGTAAAGCAGAACAAAATCCAGCAAGATCAGTAATATGTCAATTAATTATATGCCACATTCCCATGTAAATATCTGTCTTTGGAGGATGTGTTTTTTACCACCCCTAGTTCTCTCATTTTTATTCCAAATACAATCTATAATTAGAATCACAGGGCTATTTTTATCTCTATGGTTCAGTATTTTCTCAAGCAGCAACTTTAACTGCTATACTTTCCTGTCTTAAAAGGCAGAACTCTTCTAGTCTAAAAAAACTCATTTGTTGAAATGGGGGGGCCTATTGTTTGAACCCCTTAGGGGCTTTAAAAAACAAAAATGCCTGTCTCTTTTTGCGCTTTATGAAACAAAGTAGCCTATATTTTGTGGATGTACAGCTACATTTCTCATGTAAGTTTGCGTAGTTTTTACACAAACATTTATTTTTCATATTGCACCAGTACAGTTAATGAGCAACCTATACTTGTGTGCTTGTTTGTTCTGTCTAAAATGTTTATTTTGGAATAAAGAGGTTAATATAAAAAAAATTTTTTGTCCGATTCATCGATTAATCGAAAAAATAATCGGCCGATTCATCGATTTTTAAAATAATCGTTAGTTGCAGCCCTACTTCCAATAATGGCCTGGACCAAGATGCACCTGAGTGAAATAAAGGCCCCGGCCTATATTAGAGGATTTACGGTATGTGATTTATTTTGAAAAAAATGTTTAATTGATGCTGTGAACGCATCGGAGCGAACTGGAGCGAAGCCAAATCCTTGCTCCGGCCTTTGAATTGAAAACTGCTCTGCGCTCCACCACTCGCTCCACGCTCCGCTCACAAGCTCTGGTTCTTAGTTTTTGGTGCAATTGGTTGAAAAAAAAACACCTTTTAGTTTGTCTTCTATATGTTTAACAAAACTGAAGTGATGGTGTCTGTCGTGGCCTTTTGTTCCAACAAATACCAACATGTTCACCAAAGGCCGTGGGTGGTAACAGGTGGTTTTTGGCTTTGTACGCACTTCTCACTTGGCTTATTTATTGTAAAAGCAAAGACAAAATCCACACCAGACATTTACCAAGCATTCCACCATCAGTCAGTGTGTTCTTAATTACTCCAATGAAAGGGAGGGTCCAACAATTAACCTTAATCTAAATAATTCCAAATATAAAAAATAAATTACCAATTTTTTTTCAACTTGAATATATTTTACGTACCAAAAGATAACGAATTACAAAAATTTTGTGTAAATGGCCACAACAGCGTCTGTGGTTTGTTTTTGATTTAAGCTGGTAAAATCAAAATCAACCACATTTAAATAATAAAACAATATATAAAAAATACATAAAAAAATATCTGTGTAATATAATATGACGTCTTTTAAGGCTTCAGCTTTTTAAAAACCCTGATCTTGAGTCTTCAGTGTAGTAATTATATCTCAGTCAAACCGCATAAAGGTCTAAAAAACTAAAACATGGAGATATACATAAAAGAGTAAAACATAGAAATAAAAACCTATTATGGCTTAGTAAACATAATTCAAATAAACAGCTGAGTGTTAGTTTCCCAAAAGAATAAACATGCTTTCTGGAATTTTCTGAACATAAGGCGACAGAAACAGCAAAGCAAAGTAACCCTGAAAGAAAAGGACGTTAGAATGAGGTAAAGGAAGGGAAAGACACTACCTTCTTCCAGCTCCGACCAAAGCTCCCCTATGACATTTTCCACCAAAAAGGTGCGGCTCTGTCGGTTGCGCCGTACATGCTCCTTAGCTGGTTGTTAACAGAGAGAACATGTTGGAATGAGAGTCAAGATGGCATGAAGCTCTGCTGTGTGAGGCTGTGATGCTGACATTCACTATGAGGCAAGCAGCAGGCTGAGGTGAAAACATCCACCCCTTCATGAATCATGTAAGAAACCACATTAAACAAATGGAAAACTAATTACTGTTTTATTTCACACACTGTAATTATATTTCCACTGAGTGATCAGAAAAACTGTGCTCTATGAACACAGTAGTAGTCAATCAAAATGTCCCTGCTTCCCTTGGCTGGTCCCCTGCAATTCCTTTTTAAACATCATTCTTTCTACTAAAATATTCTTTCTGTCATGAATTGTGGACATTAAGATCTAAAGAGAAGTGTCATCTCCTGATCAAACCCTGTAATTTAGGGAGAAGGAGGGCGTCTTCCACTGGCTGGAAGTTGGAGGGGATTCTGCTGGGAGTTGCAGGGAAGTTGGCTGCCATTCTGCTGGTGTTTGACTGGGAAGGGCATTTTGAATGGCTGCTACTGTATGGCTATGTTCACGCAGCAGCCTGAAATGACCCAAATCTGATTTATTTTTAGTCCATATGCGACCTGGATCTGATCTTTTCATGTCAGTCTGAACAACTCAGATCTGATTTTTTTCCAATGCGACCCAGGCCGCTTGGCTCTGTGCGCCTGAATCTGATCTTTTCAATGTGACCTGTGTCTGAACGGCCAGGTCACATTCATCCGACCTGAACGCCATTAATACCCAACAAAGGTCACTAATTTATGTTTTGCTATGCAGAAATGACAAGAACAACAACGACCATGGTGGACGATGATGCAGAGGGCAGTATTTATGCTTAACCATATTGAAAAGATTGAGTTTTTAAGGTTGGGAAAGATCAGAAGATGCGCTCCTACACTACCAGCCATGTTTACTTCCGTAAGCACATAACACGCTGGCCTGTGATGTCATTGCGTCCTCTACTGCGCATGCGGGACACTTGCATTGTATGACTGCAGTTCACACAGGAGATCACATACATCTGGAAATGTGAACGGCAACGCAAAAAAATCTAATTTCACAAAAAAATTGGAATTGAGCATCAAGAGTTGCAGTGTGAACGTAGTCAAAGAGTGGTTTTGAACAGTGCTGATTGATATCCTTTAATAAACAGTGAAAAGCAGTGTGTGCAAGGCTGACTAAATGTTACAGAAACTAAGAAATTACTGACAAGAACTGTCAAAAGAGAAAGTTTTACTGCTATTAATGGGAGAAGCTGGATATAGATCTTGTGGTTCTAGACCTCATTGATTGACGGGGGGGACTCCATTTGTAAGGGGTATGCAAGTGATCAAAAACGCAAACTTGCCCTCTAAAATGTTAATATATTGTGGGGTATCTGAGGGATAAACTGGAATAGACCCTGGGAGAGGAGGATCAGCATCAGGACTACAGATACGGATCAGTCCCTGTTAATTCTTAAATGTTTTAACAAAAAAAACACAGAAAAAACAACCTCTTAGTTTAATGGAGAGAAATTAAAACTAAAGGAAAGTGTTTTTTTATGAACGCAAAGAAAAATGTATCAGAGTTCACTGTGGCTGGTTCATTTCAGCTTTTATATTAGTTTTTCTCTTTACTTATATTTGTCCCTATTCATGTTTAATCAGTAGGTGTCATGGTTTTGGTTATGCTGTTGCTGGTCCTGTTGTCATTGCTATACTAGTCTACTCAGCACGTCTCTCCGGGGCTCCTAAGGCTCGTTTTCCCCTGATGTCTCCACGGTTTTTGGTCTGTTTAACATTTTAGTTGGATTTCTGGATTTGTACCTCTGTTTCCTGTGTTCTACAATTAAATCTGTCAGAACTCATCTCTGCATCTAGGTCCTCAAGCAACCTCACCACTCATTGTTGACAGTAGGTTTTCTATTTAATGTTATTTATTTTGTTAGCTGGGAGAAAAGCTTTGAATCAGAGTTGTTCTTTGCAGCTTTTCATTTTTTTTGTTATTTGGATAAAAATATTTATTAGTTTGAGGCAAAATTAACTCATTTCATATGCATGTGGAAATATTATATCAGCATCACATCAATTTCACTAAATGCTAAAAAGATTTGTTTGTCATCATAGTTGAGAAAAACATCTCAAACAGGAATTTTGAGTAAAAATATCTAAATGTGGTGGTGTTTTTCCCTAAAGATGAGTTATTCTGTAGTATTCGTGCCTTTGTGGATTTTATACCACGTTTGCAGCCATCATTTTACCATCAGTTTATCTTTTTTTCAGGCTGTTTCGTGCAGAAAGAGACCAAGTTTGGAGGGAAATATTAGAGTGTTCCCCTTGAAACAAGAAAAAGGTGAACTTTTTAAGTTTTGTCTATCTATCATGTTTCTCTCGATAAAACGGCCGCAGCGTTTGTAGAGATTCAGTAAGCTTGATATCATTGGAAAGAGGAGAACGACAGCTCTTTGCAGATATGTGAACATGCTATATTGATATTGAAATACTCATATACAGGCGCCGAAAGTGCAAAAGCGGTCCCTGGGTCGCGGACGGGTTGTTTGGGACTTGTGGAGTAAAAAATTTTGAGATATGTCTGTTCTAAGCCTCACAGGCTCCAAACAAAGAACATGAGAGAAAAGAATGAGTCACACAGGGTCTTTCATGGCATGAAGGGGAGGACTGTTGTTTTGAGAAGATCCATCTGGCCAGTGAAACATATATTAACCTAACAGGGAATGTCCTTGATGAACTAAAGTTGTTTTTCCTTCAAATCCTCAAGTGTGAGAAAGTTCTTTATGCAGGTGGCGGGTTGGTTCCCCTGGGGGGTGTTGGTGTGATGTTGTATAAATGTATATACTGAAATGCCTCAGTCAGAGAGCCCTATCTCAACCTTATTTCTTGCAAGAAATTCCTCTGCCTCAGCTTCCCAACTTCACAGACTCAAGGAACTTTGAGAGATTAAATACATATTAGCCACTATTAAGAGCCGCTGTAGAGGGTCCAAAGAGCCACATGTGGCTCTGGAGCCGCAGGTTGTAGACCCCTGGCCTAGTGTAACGTAAAATAGTGTTACACTTTCATCGACTGGTTAATTTGCTCCAATAATTATGCCAAATTCTGAAAGATACTCGCATGACATTTGGAAGGAAGTACGGCTGTTAAAAATTTCCCTCCTTCTCTTTCACTTTAACTTAACCAAAGATTTCCTTTCTGCTTAAAATGAAATTATATCTCCTGTTGGTGCGACTTGTATAAAAACCTTCTCATACATGCCAAGCTAAGACAACATATTTTAATCCTATTTTTGCAAATCCTCATTGTTTTTGTGGGTTATGCTGCTGAACCATACCTCTCTCCATCTCTAATGTCCTTGTGACCTCCCAGTTTCATAAGGTGAGAACTTTCTGAAGCAGCTGTGTTGGAAGTGGAGTACTTAAAGCTAGCAGCCATGTGAAGTTAGGTTAATGACTGAAGCAGGAAGAAATGCAGGAATTAAATGTCAAAGGAGCATTTCCTCCTGCTAGAAGTGCAGAGATGAAAAAAAAAACACTCTAAGCTGTGCAGAGGGCATAGTGAAAGCACACCGGGTTCCAGAAACGATGTTTTAACCCAAAATCGAAGCAAAAACTGCAAACCTTTCATCATAACGAAAAAAATAAAGCTACAACTCATTTCACATCTCGACAAGTTTTGACAAACAGACTGCAGAGCTGAGTTAAATATTTGACATCTTTAAGATTCTGATACCAAGATAACCTGGCTCTAAATCTAAACACAGCAATGATTTTATTTGGTATGGTTCACTAGAGCTGAGCTCGTCCTAATGTGCTAAATGAAAGAATTTAAGAATTGATTGTGATTAGAAACAAGCCTCCTACATTATTATTTCTTCTAGATGTGGAGAATGTCATTTTGTTTGAAATTGACATTTAGACAAAAGAAAAATGTCAAATATCAGTAATACATATTCAGTCAAACTAGTACATGTCATAATGGCTTGCCATAGTCTGTTGTGATTGTGATAATATTACATGATTATTACTTGAATGGTAGTAGATCAATGTATCTATTTAGGTGAAATCTTCTGGCAGCAGGTCAGGATGAAGAATAAAAATGTTGTTCTAACATATAGAACCTGTGCATCATCTCATGGGTTCCTCCTCATGTTGATTCAGTCTTCTTTTACACAGTAAAGTGTCTGTTTGCAGACAAATGGCTCTTACTAGCGGCTATCAGTCCCATAGAATGGCCTAGTTAATGATATGTTTATGCACAAAACTACGACAAAAATCTGACTAAATCAGGAAATAAAACAGAGTGATTGGCTGTAAGGAGAGAGGAGACAGAGGACTCTGAGTTTACTGAAGAAAACCTGCTGCTGACACGGTTAGCTCTGGGAGGATGTTACTATGGCGACCTTTTATTTTTTTTTTGAAAACCGAAAAGTCAGTTTCCCTGTTTTCAGGTTTAGACAACTTAAGAGTTTTCGGTAAACCTGCTTCCTGAAACGGAACCCTGCTCTGGCGGTATTCTATATTTTCATTTGTGAAACATGGCTTATCATTGCCCCCTATTGTCTGGATCAACATGCCAACACTGGCATTTGCTGTAGCTGCTTCCCTTTTTGCAGTTTTAGTTTAATAATAATAAATTTACTCTATTCACATACATCTAAAGTCATAAAAGTAATGAGTGGGACTTGGGTCCAAGTCATGTGAATGAAGTCCCCCTCCCTCTGATAGCATTGACTATAAACACCTTGACCTATTTCCACCTCTAGCTCTGCATCACCATTGAAGCTTCTAACAAAACGCTGTCTGACAATCTGTTTTAAAAACAACTAATGTAATACCTCGGCAGTGAGACTAAATGGAGCAAACTGAGCATACAGGTGCTGGTCATAAAATTAGAATATCATGAAAAAGTAGATTGATTTCAGTAATTCCATTTAAAAAGTGAAACTTGTATATTATATTCATACATTACATACAAACTCATATATTTCAGATGTTTATTTTGTTTAATTTTGATGATTACAAATGACAACAAATGAAAATCTCAAATTCATCATATCAGAAAATTAGAATATTACTGAAGACCAATAAAAACAAAGGATTTATAGAAATGTTGGCCAACTGAAAAGTATGAACATGAAAAGTATGAGCATGTACAGCACTCAGTATTTAGTTGGGCCTCCTTTGGCCTGTATTACTGCAGCAATGCGGCGTGGCATGGAGTCGATCAGTCTGTGGCACTGCTCAGGTGTTATGATAGCCCAGGTTGCTCTAATAGTGGCTTTTAGCTCTTCTGAATTGTTGGGTCTGGTGTATTGCATCTTCTTCTTCACAATACCCCATAGATTTTCTATGGGGTTAAGGTCAGGAGAGTTTGCTGGCCAATTAAGAACAGGGATACCATGGTCCTTCAACCAGGTACTGGTAGCTTTGGCACTGTGTGCAGGTGCCAAGTCCTGTTGGAAAATGAAATCTGCATCTCCAAAAAGTTGGTCAGCTGCAGGAAGCATGAAGTGCTCTAAAACTTCCTGGTATGTGGCTGCGTTGACCCTGGACCTCAGAAAACACAATGGACCAACACCAGCAGATGACATGGCACCCCAAACCATCACTGACTGTGGAAACTTTACACTGGACTTCAAGCAACGTGGATGAAGTGCCTCTCTTCTTTTCCTCCAGACTCTGGGACCTTGATTTCCAAAGGAAATGCAAAATTTACTTTCATCAGAGAACATGACTTTGGACCACTCACCAGCAGTCCAGTCCTGTTTCTCTTTAGCCCAGGCAAGACGCTTCTGACGCTGTCTGTGGTTCAAGAGTGGCTTGACACAAGGAATGCGACAGCAGAAACCCATGTCTTTCATACGTCTGTGTGTGGTGGTTCTTGAAGCACTCACTCCAGCTGCAGTCCACTCTTTGTGAATCTCCCCCACATTTTTGAATGGGTTTTGTTTCACAATCCTCTCCAGGGTGCGGTTATCTCTCTTGCTTGTACACTTTTTTCGACCACATCTTTTCCTTCCCTTCGCCTTTCTATTAATGTGCTTGGACACTGAGCTCTGTGAACAGCCAGCCTCTTTAGCGATGACCTTTTGTGTCTTGCCCTCCTTGTGCAAGGTGTCGATGGTCGTCTTTTGGACAACTGTCAAGTCAGCAGTCTTCCCCATGATTGTGTAGCCTATAGAACTAGACTGAAAGACCATTTAAAGGCTTTTGCAGGTGGTTTGAGTTAATTAGCTGATTAGAGTGTGGCACCAGGGGCCATCAATTTTGAACCTTTTCACAATATTCTAATTTTCTGATATGATGAATTTGAGATTTTCATTTGTTGTCATTTGTAATCATCAAAATTAAACAAAATAAACATCTGAAATATATGAGTTTGTATGTAATGTATGAATATAATATACAAGTTTCACTTTTTAAATGGAATTACTGAAATCAATCTACTTTTTCATGATATTCTAATTTTATGACCAGCACCTGTAGAGGCACCTCCAGGTAATGTGCTTAGCTCCATGCTCCTCATTCTGCTGATACACAGTTAAATTCAGCACAAAGTGGTTCTTCAGATTAGTTAGTGGTAACGCTGCAGTGGCTGTCCTGCAGAACTCACCCCCATAAACATAAGGCTACACTGCCTACAGAGGCACGGATTTTGGAAATTTGGGGCCCTAGGCAAACACAGGCAGGGGGCCCTGTGAATTGAGAAGGCAGCAAATAAAACAGACCCATTCTACAGATAGAAAAATGTTAATAGAATAGACATCCATTATTTGTTCTAAGTTTTGTCCCTTTTCTTGTTGTTTTCCTCTCTATGTTTTGTACTCCGTTGACTTTTCATGCTGATTTTTTCCAGGCTTTCTAAGCTCACTTAGCTGATTGCTCCTTCCTGTGTTTCCAAAAAGGCCAAAGTAAATAACCCAGTCCTTCTTTTCACTGTAGACAAGCCATGATCTGCTTCTCTGTTCTCCATTTTTCATTTGGATGAAATAATAGCTGCATGAATCATGACAGCAGACAAGATAGAGGAGAGCAGGAGGCGGGGTTACCAATCTACTGGCTCTGGAGAGCAGAGTTCGCTGCTTTAAGATGTTGTCTCCAAAGTCTCCAGTAGCAGAAAAAAGTCTCTAGATTTGGCCCCAAGTGCCTTTTTGAAATCAAAGTTCTAGAGGGGTCTGAAAAGTGGCTAAATATAGCGACTAAAGCGCTAAGTTGGGAACACTGCTCTTTGCATCGTTTGTTTTCAAATAATTTGCTGCTGTCTGTTTGGACCTTTCTGAACATGTGCTGCAAATGGACTGATCCAATATGGTGGACACTGAAGGGGGGGCTGAGACACACTGAATATTATAAGCGTTCTGATGGCATTTTAGTGAAAGGTTTTTATCAAAAACATAATTAATGTGCACAAATAAGGAATAGTTGTATTAACCATACATGTAAGCAGAGTTTTATGGGGCCCCCAGGAACTTTGAGCCCTAGGCAACTGCCTAGTATTGCCTAAGTGTAAATCCCCCGCTGCAGAGCTACCATCCACAGCGTATTGAAGTGTCTCAGAATATCCTCCTTCCTTCATATAGCCACCTACACAGGGGGACGTCTAAGGCATATTTACAACCTCTGAAAAGTGTTGAGACTGGTAAAGATTGCATTTTCTATGTATTTTGTGGTGTAGGGGTTTATTATTGTTAATAATCAGACAGGAAACAGCCAGAAAGAGAGGAAAAGGCCTTGGACAAAGCAACCAAACGCTGCCTCTATATATTTGCTCCTTGATTTCTTCACAAAGGCTTTCAGTTTTACCAAGGGAGTAAAAATAATATCAGAATTAATCTGGCCTAAAGGACAGGGGTGTGTTTATGGGGGTGGGGGGGGGGGGGGGTGTATAAAAATCCTGTAACGACATAGTGAATATATATGATGATGAAATACTGAATATTTTATTATAATAATTTTAGTTCATATTTGTAGGGAAAAGCATCATGAAAAAAGCATTCTATGGAGTTAGATCCGTCTCAAATTTTACAAATACACATTCATTTTTTATTAATAGATTTGAGTTTTCTTTACATATATTCACTAATTTTCCTTTTTTTTTATTATTTATTTCACGAGGATAATATCCTTTTATAATCGAAAGGGTGAAAATGTGGTCAGAAAATTTTAATTTCTCTTATTTCATATATTAATTTATGCTATTTTCTCATTATAAACGTTTTTCACTCAGTCTGTTTCACCTATAAGGCCACACAATTCCCCTGAGTGAGGAGTGTTTGTAGACAAGATCTACCTTAATCTCATAACAAACCAGATTCTTTCTCAAGGTTTATTCATAACATATTACTGTTTAACAAAAGTGTCTGAAATTTTGTTTTTACTCCAACTACTTTCCATTATTGTAAGTAAGGGGGGGCGAACGCTGTCCAGATCAGAACAGGGCTGATTACCCTGCAATAAGGGCTGAATGATGAACTGTTCTCTCTTTGCAAAGATAAATATAAAGTGCTGACTGAGTGAAATCCATCTATTTCTGTTTATTTAACTGGAGTAAATGTGTGCTGTGCTGCTTCCATCAACACCCTTGTTTCTAGATGTTGGAGATCGGCCTGTTTGCCAGTGTGGTCCTGTTTCTCTGACCGTGACTGAGTGGATGTGCTCTCTTCGTCCTCTGACATGGGAGCTGCCTTGGAGCTCGTCTGTCTGGCTGTGTGTTTCCCGGACGGGGCCGCCTTTTACAGCTGCTTTTTGTATCTCTGCTTCTGTCTCCTTGAACCCCAGTCGGCCTCAGCAGATGGCCGCTCACACTGAGCCTGGTTCTGCTGGAGGTTTCTTCCTGTTAAAAGGGAGTTTTTCCTCTCCACTGTCGCTACAAGCATGCTTAGTGTGAGGGATTGCCTTAAAGTCAATGAGTCAATGCAATCAGCTGGTTTTCCTTAGATAGAAAACTTTGTATCAATTTGACTGGATGATCTGGCGAACTGTAAAGTGCCTTGAGATGACATGTGTTGTGAATTTGGCGCTATATAAATAAACTGAATTGAATTGAATTAAATAGTTGAATACTTTGCATAGGACAAGATCCACAAATACATAAAAACATCCACACACACAGTACAAGATTCACCAAAGTATTTCCTGACCATAAACAATTATACATTAAATTACAAAGTAATTTTTTGTGCTTTCGTGAATTTTTCTGTGCATGCATGAATCATCATATGTGTAGTTGTGAACATTGAGACCGATCTAGCTCCATAGTCCTGTAACATTAACATAAAATGTGATGAATTCAAACTACTGAAGTTTTTAGTGTTCATGCAGTTTGTGTTGTTTACCTGGAGAAACTATGGGGAGAGATGGATAAAGCAGAAAGAAAACAACACATTAAGACTTGAGTTACTAAAGTCAGACCCGACTGTGATGCAATTTAAAACTGAATATGAAATAAAGCAATGGCAGAAAATATTGGCACCCCTAAACATTTTCCAGGGGTGGGGTGCAGTTCAACGTATTTTTTTCATTCCCTTAAATATTGAATAATTCAATGCAGAATTTGTATCAAAATTATAAATTTATATAACTGTGATAGATTTCTGTGAGAGCTGCTTTCCTTTCTGCATAAATTTGAGGGGACGCCAACATTACGCTCATCTCTGTGTGCAGCATGGTTATAGGCATGAGGTGTAAACAGTGTAAAAAATGCCTTTTCTTTGTCTTAGATTTAAAAGTATGTTTTGCGATTCTGGATTTATCGTACCTTGGGTCATTCCGCTGCCCATGTTCTCATTGGGGCTGAAACCGTTCTGGGTGGTCTGTGTACCCAGGTCCACCATCTGATGGAGGCGGAGCTTACGGCAATATATGGACGCTGCTTCAGGCTCTAAAGCAATGATCAACTGCTCTGGGTTTTCACGTGACACCAGAGCCGACTGTGGACAGGAAGAAAGATATAATTAAAAAAAATGTACACTTATATTCCGCACAGAGCAAAAATAACACTATTAAAAAAGCGCTGCTTGAATTAATAACTCTCATTCCTTTCCTGAGTCATTCTGAATTTGTCCTGCTTTCCTAAATCATAAAGCAGGGGTTGGCAACCTGCGGCGCCGGAGCTGTCTAAAAAATTTATGAAAATGTTTTTCTTTTTGTCAAACAAACATTCATGATGTTTTCCAGTGCTGTAAAAATGTGTATAATAAATACATTTAAACAATAAATGTAAACATTTCTTTCAAAAAACAGGTGCGTCATATCCATAGAGATCAGTGGTCACAGCCTGCAGCACATGTTTCAGCGCGGCGCGGCGCCAGGCAGGTGGTTATTGTAAACAAAGTGCTGGGTGTGTTTCTGGCCATGGATCCCAAAGGGAAAAAAAGGAAGATAGCTGATGGGAACAGAGGATTCAAAGAAGAATGAATCATTTGCTTTCATTACCAATGTGGAAGGATTTCCTGCATGTTTGCTTTGGAATGAGAAGAGTCATTTGGAAAGGCATTTCCAAATGCTAAATTTGCTAAATCTCCAAACGCCACTACTGCTGCTAGTTTGGTTGCAGACATGGAAAACCGTTCACAGATGGAACAGGTAGTGCTCTGATGCAAAATCTTCAATTTTTCTTTCTTTCTTTCTTAAATTTTTTGCCGTAAACCTCAAAATACAAATAACTTCACTGTGATGCTGGTGACAGAGGATGTGGGATTTCAGGGTGAAGCCTGGTTTATGCTCAAAAACCAGGTTGTCTGCGTTGCAGTTAATGCAGATATGCCCCCCTTCTTTAAGCAGACACTCTGATGCACCACATGGTGGAGAAAACGGAGGCCTTGTATTGGCTTTTACAGCACTAGTGACTCCTTTTTTTTTTTAAATAGGCTGACAGGAAATGGGATATTAGAGAGGGGAAGAGACATGCAGGAAAGGACCACAGGTCGGATTCGTACGTCAAAGTCGTGTGCGCTAACAGCAGCCTGCTCGCCCTGATTGGTCAATTCTACATCTGCTCTACACTATGCGTATTACCTGTTTGGTACCTAGTGGAAAAAACTCTACAACGCCTGCCACACCTCGGACACTGTCCCAGACACTGTGCAGGAAGATAGTTTGTAGCTCTGTCTGTTGGTTTGCACCCAAAACCAAAACACGCAACGCCACGGCCAGTCTTTGGGGAACACTCACGGGTGAACTGTGTGTTGTCCGGCGTTGGACGACAGGTTGTATATGGCGAACAAGCTCGTCAAACCAACACATGGACATCCACAATCCTAGCTAGTTGGTGATTGTCCCTCTTGCGTTGTGGCTTCAAAAACCATCGCGCAGACCATGCTTCAAAATTGGGCATAAATCAAAAATATCTGCTTCATACATGCGACAGGCTAACTGTGACACACTGCTGTGCGATACACCACCCTTCAGACAACACTGCTCTCATGGATGCAGGTTCCTGCTTGGTTTCTTGTGTCTCAATCAACTCCTCCAAACAGAAACACGTATAGAAAGATTCCTTATCATGTTTTTATAATTTCATTAATAAAACAAAACCTAAACGTGGTGAAGCGGCACCCACTGCTCCTCCCTCACCTTGTGCTACCATGTGACATTTCCTCCAGGATAAACATTTAATCATGGAGGCTTATTATATATTAATACCACAACCCCACATTACCCCTGTTTTCATAGTGGATTAATACAAGCCATATGAGATTTATAGAAGACTTTAACATTTTTGCAGCTCCAGATAGATTTGGTTTTTGTTTTTCTGGTTCAATATGGCTCTTAGAGCAGTTTGGGTTGCCAACCCATGTTCTAAAGTAACACTAGAACTTTTGGCCAATGGGGGCGCTAGACCAGGCTTAGCCCTTTAAAAGCGAATTCTTTCTGCTTTTCTTTTTTAAAGTTTTGTTTAGTGCACAAAATTAAACATTAGATAATGGTTGGTTACCTGTTTTCTAATTTTGGTTAAAAAAACAACAAAAATATGGATGTGTTTTCATTTATTTTTCTCAGGTTTGGTTATAAAGAGACTGCCTGAACGTACACTGACCTTAACATTGTTCAGATAGAAGGTTAACTCATCTATTCCGGATTTTTTACCTCAAGTTCAAATGTTGTGTCACGTATAAGGAGCATGGAAACCAAAACAGTTTTCAGCTCACCTTATAAGCTGCCTCCCTCATGAACTGCTTAGCAGGCATTTTCCAGATTGCTGGAACTGTGATCACCCATCTCACGTTGCTGTTGTCAAATTCACTGCCGGTTTGATCGCTGAGCTCCTGCAAAAAAACAAATTTCAAAACAGAAGGTTTGTGCCTGTCCTGGGCTAACGGCTGCAGCATCAGCTTAACTGTAATGGTTAACAGATCAGTAAAATCATTCCTTAATAATGTGAATCTGCAAGGTATCAATACGGGCAAAAATAAAGCCCTGCATCAACAGGTCCGTGTTACCTTTAATGCTTGCTCCTTAAAGAAAGCCAGTGCGTAGGCAAAGATGTCGAGGGCTTTCACTCGCTTCCCGTTAGCTGCATGGATCTCGGTATCGATGGAAAGGTTCTGGACACAGCAGAAAGACAGGTTTTCCTAAGATTACTCCCCGGGTGGAGCAGCTGGATCAGCTGATCAGGAAGGCCAGCTCTGTGATTGGATGCCCTCTGGACTCAGTGCAGGAGGAGGGAAACAAAAGGATCCTAACTAAATAAACATCTCTGTTGGATAACGTCACCCACCCCAAGCATGAAGCTGGTGCTGAACTGCAGAGCTCCTTCAGTGACAGACTGCTGCACCCTAAATGCACCAGGGAGCGTTATCACAGATCCTTCCTCCCAGCAGCTGGAAGACTTTATACCCACCACTGTTCCCAACAACCTCAATAAGTTGCTGATTTTGTCGCTTCAACCCAAGTTTTGCACATCTCTGATGTTGCTGCTAGTTTCAAATTTTCATTACTGTTACAGTACAGTACTTTATCGTTTATCTTTTAACTCTTCACTATTATGTTATTCTACATTTGTCCACATTTGTGTGACAATTTTCAATAATCTTTCTGCTGTAAACACCAGAATTTCCCCATTCTGGGACAATAAAGGATTTTTTTATTCTATTCTATTCCATTTTGCAGACGAAACAGGACAGATAAAAGGAGTACAAAGCTCCAAGTCTTTTCAAGTCTGCAGCACAATATTGGACCTCATTAACTCAAGGCTGGGCTAGCATTTGGGCTGTAGCCAATCGAGAAAACAAGCCAACCCTGTCATGGAATCTATTTAAGAATAAAAAAAAAGTCAGACAACAAACCACTAGTCTAAACTCGCTAATGTGAGGATGGATTTATTATTTCAAACCAAGCATTAAACCAACAATGCCTTTGTCACATATATCTAATGAAAAAAGAGAAAACATGAGAAGGCAGCTGCTCATCCTGATTCTGTAAAAACATTATATCCTAGACGAAGCCAGAATACGCTGACTGCTCCGGCTCGCACACAGAGCTGACCTGCATTTATTGATCATCTCTTGGTTTCAGTCTTACTGCAGTGGTGTGAAGCTTCATTTTGAATTTCTCTAGGTAGAGCCAGTGTTTGGACTCGCTGGGGTCCAGGTCGTGGTAGAAGTCCCGGGCTGCATAGCCGAAGCTGTGGAACTTTCTGTCTGGAGTCAGGAGGATGGTGGTTGGGGTCTTCTGATTGGACACACCAGGGTCTCCACCCTCCCAACGTCTGGGAGGAGACAATTCAGAAACAAGAAAAAATGCACTTTATTTGTCGATAATGAATTCATTATTTGGACCAAAGAACTTCATGAAATGATCTCAAAACAAATGATGTCTTAAAGGTCAGAGTTCAGAGACTTTTCATCAAAACAATGATTTCTTCAAAGAGAATAGATCCGCAGGACGCCTAGAGCTCTATAGATTAAAATCATTACATATGAGTATAAACTTTAACAGGTCTGGTTACGATGCCAAGATCGACACCAAAGGATTCTACACCAATAGGAGTAGTTTATCATGTGAAATGGAGCTCCGGCATTTCCAGATTCTAGTAGCTCCATTAGTGAGCAAAAAAAAGGCTTCTTCTTGTCGTTACACATCTCAGATTCAAGCCAAAAAAATACCTCCCAAAGGAAATAAAACCAGGAAAAACATTGATTAACTTTTCAGCATTTTTTTAAGGAGTCAAAGGGACTCAGAAGGTTGCTGCTTTCCTTTTGGACAGGTGTCTAGGAGTGTCTTGAGATGAACGGTGCTATTAATTGGTGCTATATAAATAAACTGAATAGAATTTTCACGAGCATAAAGAAGCATTGATTTATTGCACTCATAGTAATACTCGTTGTCTTTCGCTTCATCTAGGACCGGGTTGTGGGGGAAGCAGTCTCAGCAGAGACTCCCTGACTTCCCTCTCCCAGACTCCTCCTACAGCTCGGCGAGGTTCTCCCAGCAAGCCGAAAGCATAGCACTGTCCTGGGTCGTCCCCTGGGCCTCCTCCTGCTGAGACGTGCCTGGAACACCTCCCTAGGGAGGCATCCAGGGAGCATCCGAAAAAGATGTCCGAGCCACCTCAGCTGACTCCTCTGAATGTGTAGAAGCTACTCTACTCCGAGCCTCTACCAGATGACCAACCTCCTTACCCTACACCTCATCTCTAACTGACCTTTATACGACCTCCTTCTGCAATGACATCATGTCATATTTCACAGGAAAAATCCAGAACATCCACCAGAACCTTGGATCAGCCTCATCTCATCACCTCAGCCAATCTCCCTCCACCTACAAACTCATTCTCGTTTTCCCACCTTCCAACTCTCTCGGAAATCACAGAGCTCATCCTGAAATCCCCCTGTCAAATGGACCCCCTCCCAACACTACTTGTCAAAACCTGTCTCCCCTCTCTGGTTCCCCTCATTTCAGCTATCATCCGCACCTCCCTCACCACTGGACCCCATTAACTTCAACAACCTCCATCCTATCTCCAGTTTACCCTTCATCTTCAAGATTCTTAAAGAAAAACAGTTGCCTCCCAGCTACATTCCCACCTATCCGCCAACAGCCTGTATGAAGAGTTCCAGTCTGGTTTCCGGCCACTCCATAGCACTGAAACAGCACTCATCAAAATCACCAATGACCTCCTCATGGCATCTGATTCTGGATTACTCACCATCCTCATCCTCCTCGACCCTGAGTGCAGCTTTTGGTACCATCTTTCACACCCCCCTCTTCAGAAGGCTTTCTTCGACTGGCATCACTAACACTCTGTTTGACTGGTTTACTTCTTACTTCTCTGGCTGCGCTCAGTTTATTCAACTCAAGACCCTTGTATCCACCCCCTCCTCCGTCACCTCAGGTGTGCTCCAGGGCGCTGTAGTGGGGCCCCTACTCTTCATCATCTACCTCCGTCCCCTTGGCAATATCTTCAACAAATTTATAACAATAAAATCCACTTCAACTGCTATGCTGATGACACCCAGCTCTACCTCATCACAAAACCATTGTCTTCTCTTCCGCCTGCCTCCCTCCCTCACATCTCTGAAATAAAAGCCTGGTTCAGCGACAACTTCTTTCAATTAAAGAGTAGTAAAAAAGAAGTTCTCCTTAATGGAACTAAATCAAGTCTTTGCAAAACCGACAGCTTCCCACTTATTATTGAAAGCTCCTCCATTTCACTGTCCCCGCAGGTTAAGAGTCTTGGTGTCATCCTCGATAGCACCCTATACTTTCAATCCCATATCAATAACATTACCCGGTCTGCCTACTTCCACTTAAGAAGCATCAACCGCCTCCATCCCTTTCTTACTTCTCACACTGCTCCCATCCTGGTCCACAGCCTCGTCACGTCCTGACAGGACTATTGTAACTCTCTCCTCTTTATCCTCAAAAATCCCTCCATAAACTAGAACTGGTCCAGAACTCAGCTGCTGACATTAGAACAAGAACTTCCTCTATCCACCAAATCATCCTGGTTCTCTGACAGCTCCACTGGCTCCCTGTGCAGTTCCGGATATAAAATTCTTATGGTGACTTCTAAGGCCCTTCACCACCTTGTCCCCCCATATCTGTCAGGCCTCCTGGATGTTCCCATCCCCTCCCAATGCTCTCAGATCCTCATCGGCTTTATACCTGTCTTTCCCTTCTGCCGTCTCACCCCCATGGGGAGCATTCAGCTGCTGTGCCCCCCGCCTCTGGAACTCTCTACCACCCCTACTTAGAAACACAGACCCACTTCTCCATTTCAAATCAAAACTCATGTGTTTAAAATCGCCTATCCTCTTTAATATTAATCTCCCTGTCCCAGTCTTTGTATTTTTAAATGGTTTTATTCTGTTTTGACTTGGTTTCTCCCATTGTGTTTTTATCTTTTGTACGGTGACCTTGAGTGTCCAGAAAGGAGCCTTTGAAATAAAATGTATTATTATTATTATTATTATTACAGTAAGGCTACTAACACAGAACCAGCTGATCAATCTCACATCTGTAGGTATGATTAACCTGATGACCGTCGTGACATCAGTGAACTGCAGGAGTTTGGCTGATGGGTCTCCTGAGGCAAAGTCATTGCTATAGAGAAAGAAGAGCAGTATGGGGAGAACACACCCCTTTCAGGTGTTAGCCCCTGCCTGACCTTCTGAATCCTTTGAGTCAGGATGTTTGTGATCAACTGACTAGTAAAACCTCCCAGTATGCCAACAGAAACAGTTAGCTGAATCTGTTGTTTTTTTGCTTTGCTCACAGTTGTTAATGTTCAATGTTAACACACTAATAGCCCAAAGTATTGCATGCAGATTTAATCGCAGTTGCAAACAATCCTTTGTGTAAACTTAATTTGGCATTTTTATATATAACCTTCAGAGTTCTCTGTTAGTCAGTAAACTTTTTTTTTTTTAGAAAACACTGTGTGCAGAATAACATTATGCTCTTGCTGATTCCTCACGCCTCCACTTTTACCCCACTGGATTATCTGCATTGCAGTGTTGGCCCACCTCATGGTGTGAATGCACTCCGGCTCCTTAGTGAAGGCGTAAGCATAACCGCTTGATGTTGTACCAAAATCAATGGCCACCACCACCACAAAGGACGGTCCGGATTGCACCTGGTCCGTGTCACTTTGCTGCACACAAAAGAAATCACACACAGTTAGAACAATGACCCATAGCTAAGAATTACCACTGGGAATACAAAAAACTCATTATCATTTTCTTTGCACATCTGCAAAAAAGGGAGTTCTTCTTCTTTGAGATTAGCGATTCTGACCAGCAGCATTTCTTGCTGCTAAGTCCAACGTGTGGTTTATGTACATACAGTATGAGCAGGTGGATCGCATCAGAATGTCGGGCCGTGGAGTCGAAGAACAAACATTGTGAGTTGTGAACTTTTTAACGGATTCATCATACAGTTTGAGTTTTAGCTGAGTACAACGATTTAAAGTATCGTACAGTGGAAGCCCAGCCTTAAGGTAAGACAGGGGTTGACGTTAAGGATTTTTACCACTTGCCCTTTGGGCAAGTGACTTTCACATTTAATTTGCCCAGAAACTATTTTTACTTGCCCAGTATAATGTTTGATAAATATAGTTCCTTATATTCATTTTTGTATATAAATCAATGCAACATGTTTGTTTTTTAAATGTTTTTTGTGATTCAGTATTTTTTAAGTTTCCAGGTTCCTGGTGTGTATATGCACGCGTCAGATAATGAACTCAAGCCTACATTACCGTGTTAACATGCTTATCAATCCTTCCTGCACATTCTTTTCAAACCAAACTTTGCTTTAAACTGTTGTTTGCTTGGAAAAATATAGATTTTAATGTTAAAAATCTAAAAAAAAACTTGACAGGTTAAAAACTTAAGATAAATCACAAGACAGAAGTCAATGTCACAAATGACTAACTTTTATTTTTATTTATTTTATACAAGATAATACTATTAATATAATGTGACTTTTCTAGAGAACCATTATATATAGTTATTTATACAGCGTTTTCACACTCTGACATAATTTCAGAATTCCCTGACTTTTAACTGACTCAGGATTAGTTTTCCCTGACAAAATAAATGCAGCAAAAAGACAATAATAATAACATAACAGGTCACCAATTTAACATGTTTAGCTCTATAACATTTAAATGCACCTCTCCAATGTCTGAGAGAAAAAAATGTTATAAACATTTTTTAATGTATGACCTGCATCACTGTACAGAAGCTTCTAGCTTGTTTGTCGTTTTGGTAACTACATCAAAATTACCGCTAGGTGGACAAAAATCACTAGCCTGGGTGCCATTCCGAACTTAGTCCCGCCCACAACGTTTGAGGTCGGGAAGTTCGGTCTAGCATTGCTCAATAGTAGCGCGAGTATGCTAGCCCAATATCTGGCGGGCCAATCAAATTGTCAGGGCGGGCCTTATACAATGATGGACAGATAATCAACAGTAACGTAATCAACCACGTGACCAAAGCGCGCTTGGGCGACAACAATAATGGCTGCCGCCGGAGAGTTGAGGTGAGTAGATTCTGCTATTAGGTCTGTTCTAGAAGATATTGACAGCAAATTAATTTTAAAAGAGGAACAGAGAAACGCGATCAAGGCTCATCTTCTTATTCTAGGCGTGCAACTGCATGCTTTGATTTTTGTTGACAACAACTATGCGTCGCTTAACATACGTCACGCACTCCGTTGCTTTATTGGTTGTAGGTTTATCCAATTGAGTGCAGAGGCATTTTTTTTCCTGGTTCGTTCAAAACACGCCCCATAATCACAGCTCTATGGAGCAGCATCAGACTCATATTCCGACTAGAATTGAGTCGGACTACGTCAGGCTAAAAAAACAAATCACGCCATCTGGTGGAGAATCACCCGGCTTTTTCAAATCACGCGAGAATGTGTACAAAACAACAAAAATGGCGCCGGCAACGCTTCTGGGTTGTTTTCATCGAATGTCGGTGATTTTAAAGTAATTTTAAGTGATACATTTTTTTTTTTTTTTTGCAATCATTTTTTGCGATCTCCCAACAATAAAAACTACTTGCCCCGGGAGATCAGGCGATGGTTAACATCGAGCCCTGTAAGAATGTATAAAAAGCATCACTGTTTGTCATCTAATGGAGTTAAAACTATGGAATAACTGTAGTGATAAAATGAAAACATGCCATTCAATGATTCAACAGGCTTTTCAGAAATGAGAAGCTTTGAATCTAAATGAGAACTGAGCTCTTTTGCTGTCGTTTCTGCTGTGCTTTATATTCCTGATCCTTATTTAATCAAATCTACATTTAATAGGATGTTTTGATATGGTCCACGTGTCTGTTGGAACTTGTTTAGGTTTAATAATCAAACAGATTTATTATTAGAGTTTAAATTAATTATACCATTGTTATAATTATATGAATTATGTTTGTTCCTGAAAAAGAAATGCTTAACTAGATTAGACAGGACCGTGTACATGCATACACACTTTAGTGTGCATGTGTGAATACTTCAATATTTATTGTTTATGTTGCTCATGATACATTTGGTCCAAAAAAATAACCAATAAAAATAAAAGTTCAAACTAATGATGTGAACAAAAACCTGGTTTGTTGATTTATGGTTAATTGAAAGTCAGACATCAGAGTGACTTTGATAAATCTTCACATCATTTATTTACTTATTTTTCAGTTACTAATTGATACACGTTTACTTATATCTTAGAAATAAGCTAAACAGCAAATATATGTTTTATATTTAAATGAGTTTGATCAGTGTCAAACTTTGTGGAAAGAGATGATCTCCTTACTGATAATAAATGCAGGCAACTATAAAGTTCTGCAAAAACTAAACAGATTAGAAAAAGTCACCTGGATGTGTGACGGAGACAGAGGCGTAATTCCAGGGTCCCCTCCACTCTTGGGCAGGGAAGGATTCGCCATCTCATCTGTGGAAGCAACAAAAGCAGATTTAAGCCATGATTACATTCTTCATATTTTCTTCTAATTTAGTTAATGTGCGATCAGTCATAACAATCATATCTTCTACTTGTATTTAATGCAACTATTTTCACGTTTTCAGTTACAACACAAGGGTCCATCTAGGAGTAAAAAAGGAGCTTCTACTGTTATGTGCTGGTGTAGATTCTCAGCCATCCAGGTCACAGTTATTCCAAAAAAGGGAAAAAAAGCAATCCACTGGACTTTGTTTCCAAGCTTGAAGACGTTTCCCATCCCACCCAGGAAGCTTTGTAAATTCAAAATGTCAGAAATAGTGTAAAACTCGAGGCTTTATAGAGTGGACCAAAAACAAAGGCTTGTTTTGGCTTAGAAAACATGCAAATTGGACTGAACCAATGGGTCCACCCCTTTGGAATGGGTTTTTTTTTACAGAAGTAGCCCTTCAACATTTCCTCACTTTCCTTGACTGGCCCTCTGCTGGCCCTTTCCTGGTCCCCTATGATTCTTTTTTTAAATATCAATCTTTGCACTTAAACATTAGCCTAGTAAACTAGCCCCACCGGCCAGCGGCCAAAATCATTTTTCCTGCGAGTTCGTCCAGCCTCAATCAATGCCCCAGGCCCTAAATCTGGCGGGCCAATCACAACTCAGAGATGTGTTTTGAATGTCTTGATGCAAACCGGGCGGGGTTTTGAGGGCGTGACGACAAAGTTGTGCGACGCTGGAGAAAGCACAACAGTAGCATGGACTGCGGCAGCAGCAGCTTTCAATGGAGCGCTCCATTGGAAGTTAAAAGTTCTCTTTCTGTTGCTGTTGTTCAATAAAAGTATGTTTTAAGATCATTTGAGGCGAGAATATTATACTTTAAAGCGTCACTATATGATCCATTTACCAATTTAATGCGTAATTAAAAAAACTATTTCTGAAGCTGAGAGGACCGCGGCAACCAGCGGAGCTCCGAGGCTAACGGTAGCCAGGGCTAACAACAGACCGTCCACAGCAGCCCTCTATTGGCATAGTCGTGTGTGAAGGACCGCTGGCTCTGATGGAGATTTTTGACTCAGCTTTGGAATCAGTTTTGGAAGGATTAGACTTGGGGTTTTCCTTGAAATGTGAGCAGGAAGAGGCTCTGTGCTCATTCAGGATTTATTTGCCGTTCTAATGACAGGCTTTTTGTTTACACTCCCCCACCAGCTTTCTGTCGTACTTCCTACGTCACAGTGAGTTGCTCTCATTGGTCAGAGCGTTGGCCAATAGGCACAGACAGCGGTTTAAAAACAATGGGTTGTTCTCATCAGCAATCTTCCGATGTCTCATGCTGCGTTCACACCAAACACAGCAAGAGCAGCAAAAACGCGTCTGCTGCTTCCTTTTTGCTGCTGTACCAGTTTAGTTCTGATTCGCATCTGAAGCATCTTTGCCGCTCTGGCTGCGTGGTTGAAGAGTGGGTCTGATGCGCGTTGGGCGGAGCTACTCTATCCTTTCTTTGCCCTGCAGCTATATTTTCTGTGACTGGCTGTTAGTCACAGAAAATATAGCTGTGGGAATAAAGTAGTTTTAATGTTTTTAAGTGGGAAAATCCACCTGAAAACTTCCTCAGTGCAGTCAGTTCATCCAGATTACCCTCCTGCCTTCCAATAGTATTTCTGTCGGAGCCGCTCAGACCCCCACATTACGGCAGTGCGCTGTCAGTAGGATTCCCATTCAACAGCATCCTCTGGCCCGGTCGCCTCCTCGCGGTTTGCTGCGGTGGCTGGAAGGTGGTTTTCATGTACCTAATCCAAACTGCAAGCACCATTATAATAAAAGCAAACATGTTTTGCCAGCAGGTTTCAACATTTTAAGTTCATTTAGGCGTTAATAAGCTATTTCAGGGGAGTGATCATAGCGCTCTGTATCATCAGTGATGTGTTTGCCTCCCTGGCAGCTCCCAGATCAGCATCTCTGATTGGTTGATGTGGCGCGTCCAGCAGCTAACGTTCCATTTTTCAATCTCGAGCATCAGCTGCGATTGCGGCGCGTCACGCGCGTCTGATGCTCAAACGCTCCTGACACGCTGCGCCTGCTACTCAAAACGCGCTGCGGGACCTTTTGTTGCGCCTTGACGCGCACCAACCATTGACCTTGCATGTAAACTAGCTGCTCCTGCTGCGTTTGGTGTGAACGCAGCATAATTCATTGGGAACTACATAACAGACTAAATAACACCTTTCTTCTCACATTCATATACTCACAGTTATAAAATTACAAGAATAAAGTAATAAAATTATGAGACAAAGTCTTAACATTACGAGAATAGAGATGTAAAATTACGAGAATAAAGTCGGAATATTACTAGAATAAAGTTGCAACGAGAAGTCATAAAATTACGAGAACGAAGTCATAACATTACGAGAATGAAGTCTTAATATTATGAGGATAAAGTTGTATTTCATGACAACTCTTACAAGAAGCACTGTCTTCCCTGAAATGGGGAATTTCGAGCTTCATGTGAAGTTACTTTGGCATCGGTTTGACAAATAAGAAACACACCAGCATCAAACAGGGCAGTAGGTCAAAGTGGTCTAAGTGGTGGTTGCTGATTGGTGGAGCTGGTCGGCCGACATATGCTGTTCGGAGCTTGAAGCTTTGTTTCTGAAACAGGTTACGTTATGATGACTTCTGTCTCATTATTTTTCAACTTTATTCTCATAATTTAAGACTTAAATCTAGTAATGCTATGACTTTTTTCTCGAAATAAAAACAAAAAAAATCTCTAGCCTGGCCATAATACTCCATCGTACTGCATAGAGCAGGTTGACAGACAAAAACATTTTTATTTTATCTTAAATGCAAAATATGTATAATTTTAAAAAAAATCTTGGTATAATTCCTGCTCTAAGAGAGTCACTCCATCAGCTAAAGGCATGTTTTACAGTCTCTATACTCCAGTTAATGATTAATCGATTACTAAAATAGCTGATGATTATTTTAATAATCAATTAATCCGGTTGATCTGATTAATTGTTTCAGCCTTAAAGCTGCTGCAGAATTTTAATCAAATAAAAGAAGAGACATTTGGGTATCAACATTAAACCTAATGGGTTAAATGCTGAGCTTTCAATAAAACACATTTCTAATTCCTTCCAGAATCATCTCACAGAAACTCTATTTTAAAGGCAGCCATGTTGATCCAGCTGCCGTCGGGGTGGAGGGAGGGAGGGGGTAAAATTGCCTGCCATCAGTTTGATCTCTGAACTCTCAGGAGGGCATTTCAAAAATGCTCTGTTGAGGTTTTCCAACCCAAGGACTGTTGAGGGAAGCTTCTTGCACAGCTGGTCCTGCTCGCACAGACAAAACCAGCAGGAAGCAGACAGTAGAGAGAAAATCTGGGAGTCTCCATCCTGAACTCTGGAAACTCACAACGTCTAAACGGCTCGAAAAAAAAAAAGAAAAAAAAAAAAAAGGAGCTTTGCTCTTCTAAAACACAATAACAACATGCTCTCCATTTAAAAAGCTGAAAAATGCCTGTTGCAGCTGTCTTTTAAACACGGTGACATTTCAATTCAATGGAAGATTGTCTCCCTATTTGTGACCATCATTTTCATTAGCCTGGCTTAATAGCCTTTACTAAAAGTGTTCTTTGAACACATACAACAATAATACTCCCTCAAGGTATTGTAAGTGTCTAGCAGAATTGTCTCTCAACAGGACATCATGTTATCCACCCTGTTTTTTTGCCTCGCTCACCCTTTTCTCTGGTCCACCCCTACAGTGAGGATGAGTGGTCTGAAGATCTGTAATACACTTTGCTGAGCAATTACTCGGCAGAATTACAGACCACCTGTGGCTACAATCCATCCAGACACCATCCAGCTGGCCTTCATGCAGCACAAGAGTTCACTCTCAAATCTACTCTCAAACAGGACAAAAGCTCCAGCAGCCAAATCACAATAAATGTGTAGCATCCTGATGAATAATTCATGAGCATCGTCATAGACCACTGTCAGACACTTAATACGCTGCATTGCTTGGAAATTTTAAGCTGTGAAAATGTGTTGAAATCATCTTCTGTTGCATAAGAGTGCAGAATTGTTGATTAACTGGCCAAGGAGGGACAAAGATAAAATAATGGATTTATATCAAGAAACTAAAGGATGCACGGATATGAACATTTAGGACGATACCAACATCCAACACTAATCTCTCTGATCAGGCCAATGATAGATTTTTACCTACATTTGATCCTATAGTCAATGGGCAATGACTGGTAAATGGCTGATTTTCTCATGTAGGGCCATGACCTAACCCGTATAAGGACTACTGATGTCACGCTGGTGTAGGTAACAGATCTGCTTGGGTCCTGCTTCATGCCAGTGACATTACGCTATATGATTGGCTGAGCATTACCACATGACGTAAAACACTGCGGTTGCCCAGATAACGATAGTAAAAAACAAGAACCTGTGTGCCGAGTCTGGAGCATCTGTAGCGTTAGCATGTTCAAAGGAAAAGTCAGTTCAGCAAGGAATAACCAATGGATCATCATCTATACCTAAAACTAATACATCCATCCATCCATTTTCTATCATGCTTATCCAAAGCGGGGTGACCAGGGATGCTGGTGCCTATTTCCAGCTGTCTACGGGTGAGAGGCGGGGTCCACCCTGGACAGGCCGCCAGTCCACTGCAGGGAAACACAGAGGTAAACAACCATTCATGCACACACTCACATCTAAGGAGAATTTAGAGAAGCCAATTGACCAAATAACCTAACCTTTTGGACTGTGGGAAGAAGCCGGAGTACCCTGAGAGAACCCACGCATGCTCAGGGAAAACATGTAAACTCCATGCAGTAAGAGCCGGGCTGGGAATCAAACCCAGATCTTCTTGTAAGGCAGCAGTGCTACTCACTGCTCCACTGAGGAGCCCCTAAAAACTAACACATTCACAGTGATTTTGTGATTTTAGCTTTAATCAGTAAAAAAAAAAAATGACCTCACTCCTGACATCTT